ATAAACGTATGATACTATAATACTCAGCATATCAAGAACTGTTAAAAATCACAATAACATTGGATTGTGAGTGAAGTATTGCAGTAAGGTATTGTGAGATGCCCGGTGCTTCCCTCCTTTGAGGTGGATCGGCTAAACCTAAGTGACACTGGGTCATATAACAGGACAGCGGCAAATGTACAACAGAATGACTGAAAAAGAAAAGAGCCGAGGTGATGCAATGGCCTAGTCAAAGTCCAGACCTCAGCCTGGTTGAAATGCTGTGGCAGGACCTTAAAACAGTTGTGGACCACAGTGAAATGAAAGACACTGTAAAGAACACCGGACCAAAATTCCTCCACAGAGATGTGAGAGACTGATGGTGATATAGAAACTGTTTGCTTCAAATTGTTGCTGTGAAAGGTACTGAAGAACTTGGTTTTTCACAGACCTGCACAGAGCGCTGTTGAAGTTTTCTTTTTCACATAACTAATCTACAGAGACTGTATAGTGAGCAGCTTTTAGTAGTGTATTTCAGTGCTGTGTTGCACTGAAATAAACTAAAAATCATTACAAAAACATGGATCATAAACATGGTATAGTTATTGTTGTATCACCAGTTTTCTTCTGTGCAAAAATGCATTCAAAGGGAGAACTAGCAGCTTTCATTAAATATGTGACCTGACTATATTTCGACATATTTATTGCATTAATGCACTGAAAACACAGCCTCAGGTCTGTGATAGAAATCAGTAGTGAGCTTCCTCAGCACTATTCAGAACTTTACCCATTCCTGATTATTTATCATCATTTTTTTCTTTCCTCCTTACCATCCTCCATCTTCCTGACACTTTCTGCATCTGTGTTACTTCTGTTGTGTGTACAGGGTATGGTTTTGTGGACTTCGACAGCCCTGCAGCAGCTCAGAAGGCTGTGGCCTCGCTCAAAGCCAGCGGAGTCCAGGCACAGATGGCAAAGGTAAGCTCCGTCACACGCTCCAGTCTGTGGTCTGATTAACTTGGCGGTGTTGGTGTTGATGAGGTGGTGTTGTAACTCCTGAAGAAAACGGATTATAATAGATGGTGAGATTACTTTTTTAATAGCTTGCGATGACATAAATGAGATGATCAAAACTTTTGCCGTGACCGCTTGGTTTACACGCGAGTTATACTTTTGGGTTGACTCGAGACTGACAGGTGCAGGTTTGCTTGAGTCTGTTTGAGATTACTGATCAAATTAGTCCTGGAGTTAATTTTTTCATGGCAAGCAAACAAAATGACGCAGATTAAGGCTTGACTGCCTTCCTACATTCCCACAATCTTTCTTTGCTTTTTGGTCTTATGTGGCCCTTTAGTAATGCTCTGTTTTATTTTCAAAAACGTGTGTGAAAGACAGATGAGATTAGAGAAAGTGGGTGTTTGTTAAATTTATATCCTTACGTTAGTATATCTTATAAGACTGCATAGTAGCAGGGAACACGCCTATCTTTCTTTTCTCTTAAGGAAAGCATGAAGGTTAATCTGCAGTGTGCGCATGTGTGCATGTTAGAGGACAACAATGCTGTGACGAAACTTGGACCTAACCAGCACAATCACATTATCCTGCCTGAGAGAAAGACAGAGAGACAGTGAATAGCCTGTCTTGTTTTCAGATTCATTAAAGCTGTATTGCTGCATACTTCCTTTTCTAAATGAGAGAGGAGTGCAATTAAAAATAGGCCAGTCTTCAGGCACCAAGAGCATCCCATTGAATTAAACAGCAGCAAGCCTTTGAGCCACCTTTGCCTTGCTCTTCTATTAAACCTCTTTTCATTAGACTTCCATCTCTTATTTTGTTCGTAACGGCTTAGGGGTGGTGGGTGGGGGGGTATTGGGATAGGGAGTAGCAGGGTTGATGTGTTTAGCTGTTATAGAGGGGAGAACCCTCGACTCCTTGGAGATTGAGTTCTCTGGAGGGATGGAACGGAGGGCAAAGAGTCCATTTCAAATGAAATTACAGACTTCTTCCAGTTTCGTGAACTAATTATGCAGAAGAGCTGCTGACGTCCCACATAACTTTCCCAGATCAGTGAGCAGTAAATAAATCTTACAGTCTTAAAACACTGATGGAGGATGTTCCATCTCAAGCCTAACCTTGAACATTTTGTAAGTTGAGCAACTTTTTTTTTTTAAATTAGAGAGACTGACAATTGAAAACTTATAGCAGTACAATGAGATTTTGTGTAGGCTCGCTGAGACGGTAAGCTTTGATGTTGCGTCTAATCTGCAAGATAGTTGAGTCTTTCAAACAAAGTGAAGGGCGGAGAGAGAGAGAGAGAGAGATGATCAGCTTGTTTTAAAGAGGGATGAAACATCTAAGACAAATATTACCTATTTTGGGGTTTCGGGATGTTTGGATAGCGTCACTACTGAGCCAGTGCTGGCCTTAAATGTCATAGCATCCAATCTGCAAAGATAAATCTAGCCAAGCATGCCATATGCATGTTACGTTTAAATATCTGAAAACATATTCTGTGTTGAAAGCAATTGTTCAGATAAATAAAGGCAGGCTTATAATCCCATATTGAGAACATAAATGGTGTGGGATATTTCATGATGCTCCCTGAAGCTCTTTACGTACATTTTTCCTACCTGTATCAAAGTCTCATAGTGTTGATCTATGCAGCCTATACAGTATAAAAATTATATCTCACAACTTTATATTCTTATTTTATAGTTACTCCCAGCTACCAGGAAGCACAGAGGCTTACTATATTCTGATACAGTAAAAAGCATGAGATCTACTGCCTTTTAAAACTGATTGGAAGAGACTTGAACATAGTAACTGGCGATAGAATAGGTTTTGAGAGGAAGTACTATATCATTGACCTTGTTTGGAAGGATGAATTTAAAAAAAAAAGAATCTGTAGAGACAAGAAGAGCATGGAAATTGCTTATCTGTGGATCTGGTTCTTAAAATATCTTTTCTCTTTTCCTTTCTTTATATTTAAAAAAAAAAGGAAAAGGCAAACATGATTGTGAATCTACAGATCCCAGGATCTAGGTTTTGCTTAACTTCCTCTGCAACGGTATAAATAGTTAAAAGTTGTGTTGTATAAAAAACCACTTTTAAGAGCCATTGTTGGACAAATAAATCTACACGGGAGACGAGATGATATGTCATAGATGTAAGCATTTGTGCCTACAGGAGCTCAGAAGAGAAATGGACTACACCACATAATGCTTATAGCCATCCCTAGTGTTATCTGCGTGTTTGTTTAAATGCCGAACCAGCAGTTTGGTCAGTCAAGACAACGAATCAGAAATGTCAGACAGGTTTATACACATGACAGACGACAGAAACGAATCAATGGGCAGCAGGAAAACCAAACACGGGAACCATCATGCTGCATGACAGATAATGTAAGAGATGTAGGGGGCTTGTGCTGAGAGGTTGCATTTAGGGCAAGACGCTGGAAATAGCTTAAAATAGAGCTGGAAGCAGCAGTATATGTAACAGTGTAAGCAGTCCGTGTTAGCCATGATTACAGTAACTTCCTGACATCACTCATGAATTAATTAGAGCACAGTTGAAGCAAGATTAGACTGCTAGTGTGTATATAACTGGATTTACTGCGAGAAACCTTTATCCATTAAACCCTGCAGCTTGCACTGACATCTTCTTTTGTAGCAGGTGCATGTTTTGGTTGTGAAATAAATGAGACGAGAAGAAAACACAGCAAGCCAAGATGAGAGAAGAGACAAGAAACTGTGTATGTGCGTGTGTCCTATACTCACTTCCTCAGTCTTCTTGGTAATTACTGTTGACCTGAAAGATGATTACTTCTACAGCTGTACTCCCTCACGCTCTCGCCAGCTCACTCACAGTTAGTTTTTCTGTCTCCCAGCCTCATTCTTGCTTTCTTTTTGTAAGAGTATCTGTAGGTTGAATCCCCCTAACATTATTACACAGAGTACAGCGAATGATTTAAATTCTAGCTCTGATTTTTAACCAATATGTGAATCGGTGCTTCTCTGCATTTTATGCACTACAAAATGTTTTGTGAAAAGCATGTGTAGCCCTGTAAGAACATTCAGCAATGTGAAAGTATTGAATATTAACATTCATATCAGGGCATTATTTTATTTTGCAAACACAAAATCACCTAAGCCCGTGTGTGTGTGTGTGTGTGTGTGTGTGTGTGTGGGTATATAATAACAGTTACACAGGGCCAAGGTCACTATGCTAATTAGAGAGATGGTACTACTGGCAGTGACACTTCACACCTCCCTCCCTTATTCTCTCCCTTCTTTCTTCTCCCCTCCACTTTGTCCTTGGCACCTCCTGTCTTTGTATTCACTTCTCTCTCTCTCTTTTTTAACCCCCAATCCCACCATTTAATCCTATTTTAGGGGTTGGTTTAGTTGCTCCCCCCGCGCGCGCACACACACACACACACACGCACTCACACACACACACACACACACACACACACACACACACACACACACACCCCATTTCCTCTGTTGTACGTTCCCCCCAAACCGTGTGTGTATGTGTGCAGCAGGTGCTGCAATGCCTCCTCCAGAGTCGTTAGTTACAGGGTTGAGAAAGGACAGTGTGTGAAGGGTAGAAAGAAAACGGGCACTCGTAAAGTTAACGACACTGGTTGACTGTCATTTATCTGCCTCTTTTTTTTTTCTTTCTTTTCTTTCTTTCTTTCATTCTTTCTTACCTTTCTTCCTTCGCTCCCCCGGACTTTATTTACTGATATAAACGGTGTGTGCAAGCTTTCTTGCATGTGTACTGCTTTTATGTGGCTGTCTGTGTGTGTCTGACAGCTGAGGTTAGTGATGGGAAGAGGTGGCCAGCAGGACCAACTGAGACATAAAATAAAGATGAACCAGACAAAAACACATACACAGGAAGACAAGAGCATTTCTTTTTCCCCCCACTCTGCTTCCTGCTTGTCTATCACTCTGTTACCTGTTTGTTTCTAACCTGTTTGTTTTTTTCCTCTTCTTTTTTTTCTTTCAGCCATTTGTTTGAGTGTATTTTTTATTTTGTCAGCCAGATATACAGTAATACACCTGAATACTTTCACCAGCCAGCACATATAATGTAAATGTTGGTGTTATTCTGCTTTGTAAAGAGCAGCCTGTGACTGAAAAGCTGAGTTTTAAATTGAAAACCCTGGGCTAGGTGATAATGGTAATGTTCCTTTCTTCTGTTGTAAAATCTGAAGTGACCCATCTCTTTAGAGGACTCTTCTTTTTATAAACTATGTAGATTATTTTTGAATACACAGCTATGACAAAGAAGGTTGTCTCTGTGCAGTTAAACAAAATGTATTTGGATTCTCTATTTGTGTTCAGAGATATCAACTATAATATTTCTATATTCTTTAAAAAAAAAACATGCCATCAACTTGCATTGCAAGTTGCTCATATCTGAGTGGTTAAGGATGTTATAAAGCTGAATTTACTGTCTTTTTGTTAGACCTGACAGCCCCTAGCCAAACAATAGCAAGAAGAGGACATTCAGGAGGAGGACAGAAAGGAAAATAGGAATGGGAGGGATCCTAGTGAGTGAAACCCAATCGAATTAAATGTAATCTGGCCTGAATGTGCACAACCATCAGCTGCTTTCCAATCATATTAACCCTGCATTACCATCCCTTGGCTTTGTGTGTGCGCGTGTATGTGCATGTGTCTTTTTATGTTAGTGTGCGTAGAGGGTGATGGGAGAGAGATGTAGGAGTTAAGTGGATAAGTGAGAAAACAAAAGAAAGAGATGGACTGGATGGGGGAGAGAGCGTGAGAGGCAGGGAGACTGAGAGGAAAATGAAGATGAATATAGGTGTTTGGGTGATTAATGCGCCGCTGTTGCATTGCTAATGAAAAAATATTTCTCATCATTACAGTAATCATGATAATTCCTAGTGACACATAACAGTTTCTTCATTTTACTGCTTTACTAAGTTGTGTATTATGCCATCA